ACATAGCAAGGCCTCAAATAGCATTGTTTGATTATAACATCAATGAGGGAAAAAGTGATTCCTGGCTGGGAACACCATGTGTGGCGTCTGCACGTTCTCCCCACGTCTGCCTGACTTTCCTTCCACATCCCAAAGATGTGTACATTCTTTGTGCACATTAGGTGAATTGGGGTGTCTCCTTGGTCCCAGCATGAGCGAGTATGGGTGTGTGAGTTGCCCTTTGGTGGAACCCTGTCCTATCCAGCCTGGTTCTTTTTTTTTTTGGGACGGAGTTTCGCTCTTGTTGCCCAGGCTGGAGTGCAATGGCACGATCTCGGCTCACCACAACTTCCGCCTCCTGGGTTCAGGCAATTCTCCTGCCTCAGTAGCTGGGATTACAGGCACGTGCCGCCATGCCCAGCTAATTTTTTGTAGTTTCAGTAGTGACGGGGTTTCACCATGTTGACCAGGATGGTCTCGATCTCTTGACCTCGTGATCCACCCGCCTCGGCCTCCCAAAGTGCTGGGATTACAGGCTTGAGCCACCGCGCCCGGCCCCAGCCTGGTTCTTGCCTTGCACCCTGAGCTGCCGGGATAGGCTCCAGCCACCCAGGACCCTGCATTAAAATAAGTGGGTAAATAATTGTCTGATTTGTTTCTCTAAATTTTTTTTTATGGGAGATTTTTCCAGTAAAAACTGAGAAACCTGCTAGATATTCTAAAAGAGCTATAGTAAGCACTGCTAATCTGTCTTTCTTAAAGGTGTGTATAACACTTTTATTTCAGCGTTTAGTAATAGAAGTGTTGGAGCTTTTTTTTTTTTTAATTAGAGACAGGGTCTTACTCTGTCACCTAGGCTGGAGTTCCCTGACACAATTATGGCTCACTACAGCCTCAAACTTCTGGGCTCAAGCCATCCTCCTGCCTTAGTCTCCCAAGTAGCTGAGACCACAGGTATGCAACATCACACCCAGCTAATTAAAAAAAAATTTTTTAGAGATGGGGTTTTGCTATGTTGCCCAGGCTGGTCTTGAACTCCTGGCTTCAGGCAGTCCTTCTGCCTTGGCCACTGGAAACGCTAAGGTTACAGGCATGAGCCACCGTACCTGGCTTATTACCATGTGTTGAGTGTGTTATGTTTGCATGATTAGAACATTCATTTATGCAACAGATACTTATGAAATCTATTGCTTTATGCCAAGAATTGTTTGGGTTGCTGAGGACAAAGAGCAGAACAAAATCCCTGCCCACACTCACTTACATTTCATTGTGTATATATCACAATTCATTGATTCTAAGATACACCGTCTCCATATTTTCATATATCTGAAATTGAGTTTCCTGTTAGAATTGATGGAGTGTCTTTTGTTGTTGTTTGAGACAGGGTCTTACTCTGTCGCTCAGGCTGGAATGCAGTGGCAGAAGCACGGCTCACTCAGTCTCAACTTCCCGGGCTCAAGTGATCCTCCTGCCTCAGTCTCCCATGTAGCTGGGACCACAGGTGTGCCACCTCGCCTGGCTATTTTTTAAAAATTTTTTGTAGAGGTGGGATCTCTATCTTGCCCAGGCAGATCTTAAACTCCTGGTCTCAAGTGATCCTCCTACCTCTCCCTCCCAGAGTCTTGGGATTACAGGAGTGAGCCACTGTGGCTGACTTGATGGAGTGTTTTCATTTAAAGTGATACCCTTGGCTGGGCATGGTGGCTCACGCTTGTAATCCAAGCACTTTGGAGGCCAAGGTTGGCGGATCACCTGAGGTCGGGAGTTCAAGACCAGCCTGACCAATGTGGTGAAACCCCGTCTTTAAAAGAAATTAAATAAAAAATAAATTGCTACTTTTATTTTCCTTCACGGTACGTATAGCCACAATCGATGGTTGCTTTGATTGGGTGACTTATGATTGGTCAAGTCGTCAGAACTGTGCAGAGGAAGCAGAGGTAGGAGAGAGGGAATGCTAAGGATGGGGGTGGCTTGCTGTTTCATAGTGTGACTAGGAAGGACTCCGATCAGATGATGTCAACACAGATACCTGAAGGACATCTGGGGGTGACGCATGCAAATATCTTTGGAGACTTTCTGCTAAAGTGCAAAGGCCAGTGTGACAAAGAAGGGGGAAGGGGAGGGCAGGGTGAGGCAGTAGGAGTCCAGGCCCAGGGGCCCTTGTGGGGCCTGAATAGGGGATGGGAGACCCTTGTAAGTTTTGGGCAGAAAAGTGATATTTGATTTATGATTTTAAAGTGTAATTCTGGTGATTGTGTAGAAAAGAGCCGGAGACTCTGGCCAGGCTTGGTGGGTCACACCTGTAATCTAGCACTTTGGGAGGCCAAGGCGGGTGGATCGCAAGGTTAGGAGTTCGAGACCAGCCTGGCCAACATCGTGAAACCCCGTCTCTACTAAAAATGTAAAAATTAGCCAGGCATGGTGGCACACGCCTGTAGTCCCAGCTACTCTGGAGGCTGAGGCAGGACAATCACTTGAACCCAGGAGGCAGAGATTGTGGTGAGCCGAGACTGTGCCACTGCACTCCACCCTGGGCAACAGAGCAAGACTCCATCTTAAAAAAAAAAAAAAAAAAATGGAGAAGGGGAGAAGTAAGAAGGTGGGAGGGAGGTGGTCACACTGTGTGGCGTAAGGCGGTGCAGATGGCAGCAGTCACACTGTGTGGCGTAGGGCAGTGCAGATGGCAGCAGTCACACTGTGTGGCGTAGGGCGGTGCGGATGGCAGCAGTCACACTGTGTGGCGTAGGGCGGTGTGGATGGCAGCAGTCACACTGGTGTAGGGCGGTGCAGATGGCAGCAGTCACACTGTGTGG